TCTCAGGCAGCAATCAGGTGCTTACGAGGATCACGGTCGAGAGTGAGATCATTAGACTCAAACGATTTCTGCAGAGCTATTTCAGAAGCTCGTCTCACACTAACCTAACCTATTCTTTTTATCTTATCTTATTATTTTTCTATCACTTATTTCCGTTATTATTATCTCATTTGTTAACCTATTATGTTTCCTTGTGTTGTATCTATTTTCTAAAAATGTTTATTTAAGGGCTCAGTTCCCTCCTACACTGTACTATAGTACAGGGATTTCGGCCAAATTTCATCAAAAATGAAAAGGAGAGAATTGCTCATTTTTATAATTTTTTCTGATACACATACATGTACTCATGTTGTGTAGAAAGTTTTAATTATTCCCGATTAAGTTTAAATTTTTTATGAATTTTTAGAATTTGCAGCGAAAGTAGTACAGCAGAGACTAGTGTTATATATAGCAATTTTGAACTGATTCCAATTAAGTTTAAATTTTTTAAAAAGTTGCTCCAAATGCCATGCACTGTATTGTAGTGCTTGTTATCTCATGAAGCTCATGCCTGGGAAACCCTTACTAAGGTTATTTTTGATGATAAATCATGGAGTGGTTACACTAGCGCATGATACTCACAAAAAACTTGTAAGCTGGTATTTAATTTAGCAAATTTTAGTGATTTTTTAAAAATTGCTAACTTGAGTCCACGCTAACACATAACTTTAATTTCTGATTATAAATCATTAATACTTATTAATATTAAATGATCAAAAACGCTAAAATGAATACCAGCCAAATGTCAGTATCATGAAAATGGCTAAAATAAGTACGTGCTCCTTAAGGTAGTTCTCATGAACATCATATATATAGTATAAATTTATTATTGTGTATGTGTACGTAATATTTGGCTCACAACCCAAAGAATTTATTAATTAATTTTCTGTGTTCAAACATCATATGTTACTGTAGGATGGTCTGTTATGCATCAAGGATAGAGTATATCAAGAGATTGTGGAGAGATATGGTTTCAAGTTGGAATGTACGTATGCTGAGAGGGAAACAATGGAAGAAGTCCTTGAACACATTGAGACAAAGTTAGAAACTGCAGCTGTGAATTTAAATATTATTTTGTTACATTTTTTGTTAGTTATTAAAGTTAATATCTTACATTGTATATTAAATCCCTGATTCTACCCAATAGTGAATGATTGCAGTGGGCAAGTGTGGTGAAATAAGTGGTATGTTTTGATTATAGTACAAATGCAGTATATAGAATAGATCTACGATCTCATTAATATTATGTAATAACATGTAATTAAAAGCAAAAATTTGCACTCACAATCATTCTAAATTTAAATGCTGCTCAACTTTTGTAAAAGAAACATGTTCGCAAACTAGATCCTTCCAACCAAGTGATAAAGAGAGAATGAAATTAGTGCTATCACTCTTGAACCTGCGGCTAATTCATCAAAACAAAGAAGTTGAAAAAATTGTCAGAAACTAATGGAAGGAGTTTATGATAGCATCTGCATGTTAACTAATGTGGCCTGGTTGCTTGAGTTAGTAATTAGTAATATTGAATAGCTATTATAATGTAGGTTTTACTTTGTCCATACAAATTACGATTATGAATCTAAATGGTTAGATAAAAAAGTTGTACAAAGATGTATAATACTGACATGACATTCCACAGCAAGTGTATGTGCAACAGAACTAATTGGCAGAACAAAATGAAATAAAAATTGTGTATGAAAAATAGCTCGGCATCACTATAAAAATTTTAAAATGTACATTCAATTATCCTCATTGCATTCAAATTTTAAATGCTGCTCAGCTTTTGTAAAAGAAACATGTTCACAAAGTTGATCCTTCCAACCAAGTGATAAAGAGAGAATGAAGTTAATGCTATCACTCTTGAAGTGAGCTAGTTCATCGATGAAACTTGATATTCCATGTCCCGTAAACGGATTATGCCCAATGTCAAGGAATTTTAATTTCTTGAAACTGTAACTGCTGTCGTAGTCAGTAGCAGGTTCTTCAGACAAGCCAAAAAGCTGCTTGAGCATAGAGCACAAATGAGCACTTCCTTCATCGTCAATAAAATTATCCCTCAAATTAAGAGCTTCCAGATGAGGGGACATTAGCACTGCATCAATAACAGTACGAACACTGCTAGAATCAATGGCACAATTAACTAGCTCTAGTTTAGTGAGAGTAGAGGAAGGGAGTGTTGTGGGTAGGAGGCTGAGGTTCTCTGGAGTGCAATGACTTTGTTCAATGTGTAGAACTTCGAGAGACAGTGAGTTAGGTAAGCATTCAATGACCTTTTCAATGCTACTGGATCCCAACTGGTATAGATAAACTTCAGTAATACTAGAAACTTTGGTTAGAAGTACTTCACACTCATCAGGACTGAGCTTAGAAAGAGTAACATAATGATATTGAAGTGGTATCATGGCTTCTATCAGGCAGAGCTGTTCACCTTCCTTAAACAAGTTGTTATGAAAAAATAATGTTTTCAGGCTAGAAAACTTTTTCAGCTCTTTTGAAAATTCTGTTGCAGCATGAGAGTGTAAGTGACAGCTCATTAGTTGCAGTGAAACCAAATTTTTAATAACATGCTCAGGAAATTTGAGCAATTCCATCATTCCTTCATCTCCAATTGGATTAAGAGAAAAACTGATATCCTTTATTGTACATGATAGGTCACACTCCACAGAAAATAATCCTGTCTGAAATTTTTGAATGTGCTCAAAAGTCATTCCACGGAGTGTAAAGCTTAGTCCCCATTGACAGCTACTAAGTGCTATACACTTACCAAGAATGAACATGTCTTGAGGCGAGGGTGAAGGAATTAGGCGCCGAACCTTGTAAAATTCATCTTTGTTACCGAATAACATTTTCACAAGGGATTCATTTCCAGATTCATACAGGTAATGAAATAAGTTCAATTTATACAAATTGTGATCAAAGTGTGGGGTGATTGACTGAAGCCCTGTCAAACCAGATAAAAAACAAAGCATGGTTTTAAATTTCATAACATTCTTTAATTTATTAAAGATAACTTCAATTTCAGCTTTTTGCATTTGAGAAATGTGGTAAGCTGCAAGAAACTCTTGAATAGTGAGATGAAGAAAGGAATAAGCAGTGACATCACCTGTCCCTGGATAAACTTGAACTTCTTTCTGCATCATTCCAAGTGTCTCAAAATCGTCATCAGCATAATACAAGAGCTTTGTGGCACGATTTCTTAAGCCATTATAAGCTATTTGACAAAGAGTGGTGAACTTTTCTTTAATGGGATGAGGAAGATTATGTAAGTCGACTCTTACTAGCTCTTGTGTTTGACTTTTAATGTGTCGATACAGTAACATTTTAATCATTGCCTCATATAGTTTAGTTGATGTTACAATGCCTTTAAATGGTACTTGCTCTTCGCTCATTATGTACTTCTGAAAAATATCGCATACAATAACAAGATTGACAGGAATGTAGAGACAATCTCGTACTTTTGGTGATTCGTCTAAATGTTGATTGAGAGTTGCAATATGTTCACTGTTATTATTACAAAATTTTTCAATATATTCATCTATATTTTCCTTTTTAAATCCAATCACTTCAACATGGCGCTCAAACTCAATTTCATTTTTTAGATAGTGTTTGGCTGATGGACGACTGGTAAAAACTAAGGTTGCACACGGCAGCTCATTTGAAAACTGGAAAAATAAGGAACCACGCTTTGTTAGATGCTCTGGTAGCTCATCAAATCCTTCAAGTATAACAATGAGACCCTCTCCGCCATTATCGATAATATCTTGAACAGCAGCATCCTTCCAACTCTGCTCCTTCAAGAAACAACCCAAGAGATCTTTTACTGATTTACAATTTTGTATAACCCTATCTCTCAGACGAAGTAATAATAAAAGAGGATATTTTTTTAATGCTTCTCCCTTGACCCAACGACTGCACATCTCAAATGCAAGCATTGACTTTCCTATCCCTGGGGCACCCTCAATCAAAATAGCATCTCCATACTCAATCCTGCATAACTCTTCAAGTGATAGAGGCTCTTTATAACCAAAAATATCATCATTGGTTCCATGTATTGTGGAATTTGAGAAAGGATTACGATAATCTTCATTTTTACAAACAACAGCCAGATTAATGTAAATTTTAGACGGAACATTTCCTAAGGACCATTTTCGATCAGGCCTTTCTTTTTTATAGCAGCTCTTCAAATAACGTGAATACTTCTTCATAGATGGAGTTAACAGAGATTCATCATGACCAGCATCATCTGCATCTATAAATAATCATTTTAAAATTTAGACAGTGGATTTCATTTGCATTTGAACATTGAGTATGCGTGGAGATCATTGCACCTCATGAACCATGCACAAAAAATCAACTCACACCTCATACAGTGTTCAAACAGAAGTGAAATCCGCTGTGGAAATCTAAAAATTAATTTTGTTAGTTTTTAGATAAAATCATATACATAAGATGATTTTTAAAAGGGTACATTTCTAGTAGTGCTGGGTGATAGTGCTACTATCATATCACAATTGATAGTTCTTAAAATTTTAACGATAGTGATACTATCACGATATTAACAATTAATTTGAATATATTTGAATGTATTTATTTAATGTAACAAAATAGGCAAAAGGATGAAAGGTAAATGAATATTTGAGGTTTTCAGCTAGAAGAACAGTTTCTGGATGTAGACAAGCTCTTTTTTTAGTAACTATATTCCCAGCAGTACTATAAATACACATTCAGAGGGAACAGACGCCACCGGTATACATAAATATTTCCTAGCTAATATTAGATAACAAAAGGAATTTGTGTTCCACCATGCCAAAGGATTATATATCTAGTAGCTAATAGGCTCTAAAGAATATCTTGAAATTTCTGCATGAGCCTTTTGGAGGTTAGTCAAGCACTCAGAAATTTTACCATCAACTGCAGGAAAGCTAAAATACTTCCATACAATACTAGTAGCACCAGGTAAAGGCAATATTTCTGTTTTTTGGGGGGCAGTACTGCTACTAATGATAACATCTTCCATTTTCACAGCTGAACTAACTAATTAAAGTAACCATGTGTTTGATAATGCGTACCATGTGTCAATCATGATAGTGTTGATTCAACTATCACGATAGTGATAGTAGATTACTATCGCGACCATGGCATATATCGATACTATCGCCCAGCACTAATTTGTAGCCTCCCATCCTCAAAAATTGCTCAGAGCAGAGAACTCTTAATTGTTATTACATAATCTAATGTGCAGTGCAGGCTCTTATGTATTTTGATCAGAATTAATTTTTTTAGAAATTTGTAAAATTGCTTCAAAACAGACAGTGCACTTATATTGTATAGCAGGAAATTTTGGAGATAATTAAATTTGGAACATTTGGGATTTTGATAGCCATTCGTCAAAATAAAATCCACCAGTTCAAGTCTTTATACGCATGCCAATGGCCTGTGGCCACAAATTCGCCAAATTAAAATTCACCAATCACCAAAATTTAGCAATTTACCAAATTTAGTCCCTCCAAAATTTCCCACTACAACTATGGTAGTATGTGGTATTCCATCAAAATTTCGAGAACATTCTCCATTTTTCTAAATTTTTAATGATCCATATACATGTTCTTATGTTACAGTATGTACAAATTTTAGCTGATTCTTATCAAAACTAAATTTTTATTTAAAACACTCCTTCATTGCAAAACTTGGTTATGATGCTACTCCTTATCATGATTTTTAAAATCAATTCTACAATATGAAGCTGACCAATTCATAAAAATGGCCCGGTTACTCTTATTATTACACTTTCTTTATAAGCCATATAAAAAGTTTTAGATAATTTGGATTCCCTTTTAGCATAGCATATCGAATTCTGAAAATTAACTTTTTGATCAAAGCACCCTACTATCTACAGTTATGATGATTATTAAAAATCATAATGATGGTGGCCATGCAAAAATATTGATTGTCATTGTCCTGCCTAAAATTGGTTTAAGGTATAGGATGTTATTTAGAGTTAGATTTTAGGTTAAAAATTATAATGTTTTTATTGTTTTGATATTAAAAGTAATTTAGAAATTAGTAATTCCTCTAAAAATTAGTCACATCAAGTTTTGTACTTATCAATTTAAAAATGAATTTTTGGTGGGAGTGCAGTTATGAAGCTTTTAAATTAATTATTTTGTCAAATTTGGAGGGATTTATTAATAGACAAAATCAGCTGTATCCTAACTCATAACCTGGTATCCTGCTCTCGTATTGAAAAGTGATAAAATTAGAACCACATGGACTACCGTATAGCGGGTAAATTTGGAGGGACTAAATTTTGGCGAATCGCTAAATTTTGGTGATTGGCGGATTTTTAATTTGGCGAATTTGTGGCCACGTGCCATTGAGCATGCGTATAATAGCTCAAAATGGTGAATTTTCATTTTCGTGAATGGCTATCAAAACGCCAAATTTGCCAAATTTAATCCCCTCCAAAATTACCCACTATATGGTAATAATAATTAAAACGAACTTTCAGAATGAATTATGATAGAAAATTTAAAAAATTATTTATTTTTGAATTTAGAGCACCAATATTTAGAATCACAGTGGACCAATATTTCATAGCAGAATCATGCACTTTTTGACTGGGGCCAAATTTTCATGGCTGCTGGGACATAAGAGCTTCCTATACCAGACAAACTAAGCAATTGAATGAATAATAGTAGCTCACTCTTCATCTCACATACCCATTGGAAGGCTGGGCCATTGGGACTACATGCTGGAACCTTCCGTTCAATTAATGATAGGATATAGAAGCCCAGGCTTTTTTGAGAACATTATTAATTATTCTTTAGACAATGTTCCAGTAAAAATTACCTGAAAAATCAGCAGAAGCTCCCTTGCTTGTGAGGGATGGAGGCTCTTTTGCTTTTGCTAGCTTTGCAGGAGTTTTGATAATAATTCCAACAGCAGAAGCTAAAAATAAAAACTATTAATAATGAATATAATGTTTAGTATATTACCTTTAATCTTCATTTCTTCATAAATAGCTCTAAAATTACCAAATTCTTCAATGATGGCTGAAAATTTTACAAAGGCACGTGTGGGCTGTCTAGCCTTGCTGATGAAGATAGAAACACATCTCACAATAGCTTTAATTTTAATATCCAAATTTGACAGCTGCTGAACAGCATCTCTCTCTGCTATTCCAATTAGAAATTTATCAGTTAAAATCTTGAGAATACTGTCACAGAAAATGGCATCTTTTCGAAGTATATTGACTAATTGATCGTGATATCTGTCGAAAATCTTCCATGCGTCATTGCTAGTGTTCTCTTCCAACATCACCTTCTCAGAAGTAACAGAATGATTGTATTTGGGTTGATCAATATAAGGAGGTAATGTAGGATGAGATGACTGTTTTTGAAACTCATTTGTAAATGACATCTTTTCAGGAGAACTTACAGAATGATTGTATTTGACATGATCAGTATTAGGAGGTAATGCAGGATGAGAAAACTGTCTTTTAAACTCATTAGTACCTGTATAAGAAATCACATTTAAGGTGACAGATGATAAAATTTTATTCGCTGCCAGATCTACTAGCAGTTTATATTTCAGAAAACAAATTAAAGTTGCCTGTGTCAGAATGTGAGTTATGATAATTGACCATGATGTTCGATGGCAAGAAGAAAGACTTTTGATAAGTCATTGGATTTTTTGTTATCATAGCTTTATGTTCAAAGTAGCTCAACCATGCTTTTCTAATACATTCCTTTAGCAAAGAAAGACTGCATGATGTGATGAAACTACAATTGTTACTTATATACTATCAAAAATCTACTGAAATGCCCATTAAGCCAGTTAACCCACCCATATGGTTTCCAGATCATTATTCATTATTGCATTTTCATTAATCATGATGATGACTAAATTTTAATGAAAAGAATAAACATGCCCACCTGCATTAGGCTTGTCATGATTCATAGGCTTGCATGGGGTTTATGCCAAATTTAGTCCAATAAATATTGCCAGGGAACTACATTATAGCTGGAAATTTTGGATGGATAAAGTTTTGGCAATTTTTTCCTGACAGGCCCGCTTCTGTAATTGAAAGGGATGTGAACAGTGGAATGTCCTAATACAGTTATGAATGAACTGATGATTTTACAGTTAAATCATATGTTGCAAGTTGTCAAAATGACCACTGAACTACCAATTACAAATTTACAACAAAATTACCAAAATAAAGCACTATAATGGCATTATCAAAGGTGGTATGACTGATATCATGTGACTGTCACAGAATATTTGTCTGTCCGGGTTACTATACAGTTACAATTTAGATTAGAGGTTGGGGTAAATCTATTTATAATTATAATTTATAAATCAGTCTATGATTTAACATAGGACAATTTTTCTGCAGACAAAAATTCCATGGCATAATTTCAATGAAATTGCAAACTAGTGTATCTACTCTATAGCTACTGACTTGATTTCTGGTGCTTGTCCTGATAGTACTGACACAACTTCTCTGCAGCTTCTTTGTTTTCACATTCAATAAGAGCTTTCATTAATGAGAGGTAAGTTGCATCCGATCCCTTTACTTCTTGCCATCTCCAGAACAAAGAAACCACTCTATTTTGATCCGAGTTATGGTCATTTTTGATGGCTTTCACATCTGACTTAGACAGGCCAAGATGAATACCCAACTGATAGTCAAAATTAAGCTCGAGACTCTTAAAAACAGCATCATCAGAAATGGTAGGTTTATCGAGATCACGTTTAAACAGCGAGAATTTGGTTAGAATTTTTTCAACACTTTGACCCCCTGACCAGTCATCCGCAGTCTCGCCAGGCTGTGGTGAGACCAGTTCCCCAGTATCTGGGCTCAGTGGGCTGACCATAGTTAGGTCCAAGCATTAAAACTGAAAAAAGCTGTGCAGACTGTAGTTTGAGCTTGTCTCATCAAAGGCTTGGGCCGCTTGGCTAGACTACAGCCATCACGGTAAGCTAGCGAGAGAGCGAGCTAGCTCCAGTGCAGATCCACCCAATCAGACCACGTGATCATAACAATAATAGCCGCGCCCATCCCCCCAAAAGGTGGGGTTCCAATCCGTTCCATCATGGCGTCTGATGAAGAGCCAATAGTTTTTGAGAATCTTCCAAACTTCCGTCAAGCAGGAGGTCGTGGGCTAACCAACAAGAGAGGACAGAGAGTGAAAGACGGGCTCCTTTATCGCTCCTCCAGGACAGACTTCGTTACTCCAAAGGACAAGTCACTCTTTCTCCAATTGGGAATCAAGTCAATCATAGACCTCAGAAGACAATCGGAGTACGAGAGATCAGACGGCTCCAAATTACTGGATGATATTTATCCGGTTTGGATACTCAAGAGCGGCAATGTCCGTCGTATGAAACCTCCCTTCGCTGGGGGGGACAAACCCGCTCCACCTCCCCACCCCCTTCCGATAACACGGCCGGTCGTCGCTACCTTGTGAACATGTGGACAATGAAGATTATATGGCACATCTTTACGCAAGCAAATTTCATTGTCCGTTGGCTCTCGCTCATCTTAGTTCTCATTGACTGGCTTAGTGGACTTCATTTATTCGTGAAGTTCTACACCTGGCTTGTCCTCAACCACTTCTCTGTTGCTAAGCAGTACATTGATGTAGTGGAACTGGCTAAACCAGTTATCATAGACGTGATTCGTTTCATGTGTAGAGAGGATTCCCTACCGATGCTAATACATTGTGCCCATGGTAAGGATAGAACTGGTTTACTGGTCGCCGTTGTACTTGGTCTACTGGAGGTTGAAAGCGAGGATATTATAAGAGATTATGCTGAATCACAGGTAATAATTATTATAATAGATGTTATCTTTTATTTAAAGCAACATTATCTACATTCATGTTAATTTCTAAAACTTATTATTATGTCTTCCTTGAACTTTCTGTTTAGTATGCATGAGGTACATGTAAGCATGCTAAATAAAAACTTCCATGGGAACTTCACTGAGTTGTCAAGTTGCTCGAAATTGGGCCAGGCCCCTGTACTATAATAGTACAGGGTATTTCGACAAAAATCAAAAGGAGAGATTTCTGCATTTTTATAATTTTTTCTAATACACATACATGTACTTAGGTTGTGTAGAAAGTATGAATTAATTCTGATCAAGTTTAGATTTTTTACAAATTTTTTAATTTGCTCCAAAATTGAGCTAAAGTCCCTGTACTATAGTACAGGGATTTTGGCCAAATTTCATCAAAAATGAAAAGGAGAGAATTGCTCATTTTTATAATTTTTTCTGATACACATACATGTACTCATGTTGTGTAGAAAGTATGAATTAATTCTGATCAAGTTTAAATTTTTTATGAATTTTAAAAGTTGCTCCAAAATTGAGCCAAAGTCCCTGTATAAATAGTACAGGGATTTCAGCCAAATTTCATCAAAAATGAAAAGGAGATAGTTGCTCTTTTTATAATTTTTTCTGATACACATACATGTACTCATGTTGTGTAGAAAGTATGAATTAATTTTGATCAAGTTTAGATTTTTATATGGATTTTTAGAGTTTGCAGCCAAAGTAGTACAGCAGAGACTAGTGTTGTATATAGCAATTTTGAACTGATTCCAATTAAGTTTAAATTTAAAAAAAAGTTATTCCAAATGCCATGCACTGTATTGTAGTGCTTGTTATCTCATGAAGCTCATGCCTGGGAAACCCTTACCAAGGCTATTTTTGATGATAAATCATGGAGTGGTTATACTAGCGCATGATACTCACAGAAACTTGTTAGCGGGTATTTAATTTAGCAAATTTTAGTGATTTTAAAAAAATTGCTAACTTGAGTCCGTGCTAATGCATAACTTTAATTTCTCATTAAATCATTAAAATATTAAATGATCGAAAACGCTAAATTGAATACCAGCCAAATGTCAGTATCATGAAAATCGCTAAAATAAGTACATGCTCCTTAAGGTATGTTCTCATGAACATCATATATATAGTATAAATTTATTATTGTGTATGTGTACGTGATATTTGGTTCACAATCCAAAGAATTTATTAATTAATTTTTTGTGTTCAAACATCTTATGTTACTGTAGGATGGTCTGTTATGCATCAAGGATAGAGTGTATCAAGAGATTGTGGAGAGATATGGTTTCAAGTTAGAGTGTACTTATGCTGAGAGGGAAACGATGGAAGAAGTCCTTGAACACATTGAGAAAAAGTTAGAAACTGCAGCTGTGAATTTAAATATTATTTTGTTACATTTTTTTGTTAGTTATGGATCAATGTCGGAGTATTTATTGTCTGGAGGGTTCACTTTGAAGGAGCAGGAACATTTTAAAAGATTGTTTTTGGAACCAGAGTCTGAATAATTAGCCAGACGTGGAATGAATAATTAAATCTTATCAATACTGTTTGAGTGTATTATTACTATACATTAATTCAATCTTGTATAGAACTAACTAATTTGCATAGAAGCAGAAATAATTATTTATAATAATATTATTATTATTTTAATAAAAATTAGTAAAAACGAAAAAATTAATTATTAGTTAATTTTTGGTGAGCGGGGTTAAATCAAAATGGCGACCAGTGGAGTCAATGAAGTTTTCGAAAGTCTTCCAAATTTCCGTCAAGCAGGAGGTCGTGGACTGACCAACAAGAGAGGACAGCAAGTAAAAGATGGACTCCTTTATCGCTCCGCCAAGACAGACTACGTCACGGCCAAGGACAAGTCGTTATTCCTCCAGTTGGGGATAAAGTCAATCATTGACATCAGAGGAGAGAAAGAATACAGAAAACTGACCTCCAGACCACTCGACAACCTCTACACACCTACTGTAATCACAGACAATAAAACCAGTGATCTCACGGAACACAAGGACACCTCTGTAGGTCGACGATACCTCTTTGACGTATTTAGTAAAGAACTAATACGACACATAGGAAACCAGGTCAATATCATCATTACGATACTTGCTGTAATGTTTCTACTACCCATCGACAAGATATTTGGTACACACTTCTTCCCGAGACTATACAGTCGATTGGTTATTCGGCATCAATCGCTTTACCAGCAATACATGGACTATCTCGAATATAGCAAGCCTGTATTTAGCGGTATGTTAAAACTGTTGCTCTCGCATGAAGAGAACCTACCAGTATTGATACACTGTGTGTATGGTAAGGATAGGACTGGAGTCCTAGTGGCTCTTATACTGGACTGCATTGGAGTAGAGAGAGAGACCATTGCTATGGACTATGCTTCCTCTGAAGTAAGTTACATAATCATGTACTGTACATGTATAGGAATGGTGTTCAGTTCCAACAAATACAATTGTCCTTATTGCCACTGCTACACTAGACTACACTGAAGGACAGCATGACACAATTCCTTTCATAATGTAGTAAATACTTATTCCCTTGAGTAGAAAAGTAGTCAAGATGTTGCCATCTCCATGTAAAAAGGAATGTTGTTGTTGTTATTATGTGTACAAAACCTATTATAGTTAAGTATGGCACTTATGCAGTATTATTACTGTATCTTTTACTCTATTATTATTTTTATTAAGTTATTCTATTCTATTGTAGGATGGATTGGTGTCAATGAGAAATGAGATGTATGATGATCTCATTGTCAATTGGGGCATGGCAGAGCACAGTTGCCAGGCTAAAGCTGATACAATGCTTAAAGTACTTAATGAAATAGACAAAAGGTCAGTAGTGGTAACATGATACTAAAATTAGAATAAAACTACTATGGCATGATATTTTTTCAGTGCAGATCAGGGTTTCCCACAAAGCATGGTAATAAGTGAGCTAAACAGCATGAGCTTCATAAGCTGAAAAGCACTACAATACACTACATAGAGCAACTTAAACAATTGATCAAAACTCAAACTTGATCATAATCAGTTCAAACTTTCTACACAACGTAAGGACATGTATATGTCAGAAAATTATAAAAACAAAGAATTGTCTTCTTTTTATTTTTAACAAAATTTGGCTGAAATCTTATATTATAGTACAGTACAGGGCATTTGGTTCAATTTTTGAGTAACTTGACAATCCACTGACAAAAAGCTGCATGAGCACTATGCCAAAATCCTATGGGAATCCTGATGCAGACACTTGTAGCTTGTGAATTTATTGTAAAGACCATACAATGTGTGGTTCACGGGAATAATTTTTTACAAGTTAGCAGTGGATTGTCCTTGAAAACCTAAAACATAACAAATGAATTTTTTTGCAAAATTATGAAAAAATTATTGATAATAAAATGAGGTACCATTTTCACAGCACTTTACATGCAAAATTTGATTCACATACTAACGTTATTAATAAATTATTTTTTGATTAGATATGGTAGTACCAGTCAATATCTGGAATCCATTGGGTTTACTCTTGAAGATCAAGAATCATTGAAATCAATACTTCTTCATTAGCACAGAACAGGTCTTCATTATGTGACATTAACTTTTATCTTATAGTTTTTTGTGATAGAGGCATTGTGTCCTCATTCATTTTTATCTTTTTACTTTTTGTCCCTGACAAGTTGAGCTTTTTTTAACAAGTACTTTGTCAGGAGTAGACTGACAAAATACACATTTTGTAGCACAATTTTATTTTTATGTTCTACATTTAAATTGAAATATTTTCCGCGCCCCCCTAACAGGAAGCAATGGCCACCAGCAACTTTAACAAGCTCTAACTTTCCCAAAGCAAGTGCAATGCAAGAATGCAACTAGGAATAGTCTATTTGGGTAGTTTACATTAAAAATAAGCAATAATCTCAATTTTCATTTTTGGGTGCAAGCCTCCCTAGTCAAGATTGCTAAGTTGACATGAGCAACAACCAGTAGCACACTTGACAATATATAACATAAGCTGATATTCAATACAACAATGCCTCAGTTTATTTTATTAAGTCAAAGTACAGTACAAGTCAAAGCAACAGTTGATGGGTCAAGTCTATTCATAATCATGTTTACAGGAATCAATCAGACATGTTTACCATTGGTGAGATGAGATGACATATACATATTACAGTTAAATTTAGATACACACCAGACAAATATCCATTTTCATTTATGCATAGCAATATATTATAAAGGTATTTTTTGAAACTTAAATTTTTAAGAGGTTGTTTATAGATAGCTACAATGCTTAACTGATTATGTTACAAAAAAGAGGGTTAATTTTGCATCACTTTGAGCAAGAGTATACCTTAAGCCTACTATTATTTGCGTCTACTAATTTTAGCAAAATCAGCAAAAGTCATGTTTACCGTTACTAATTTTAGCGTTTTTAACCAAATTAACTATTAATAATAACCATTGTGATGAATTATAATTATTTTGGAGTCTATTTAATTTAGCGATTTAAAGCTCACTCGCTAATATAGCTAAATTTAGTAGACGCTAAAAATAGTAGGCTTAAGGTATAATGGGGGGAACCTTTCCCCCATTATATACTCTTGCTTTGAGTAAGCCATATTTAGAGACGTTCATCAATGACTAAGAAGTATAAAAGTTACATGTTTGGTCTTGAATAGCAGCAGGTTATACTGAAACTGAGTATCGTCACAATTATTTATTAGCAGCAACATATCCACACAAAATCCAGCTACCCTTTCTCTGTATTATAATGCCCTTTTATGGAAACATTACTACAAATTATGATAGTAGATCTACGTGCTACTCAGTTTGATAATGCTATAAATACTGCTACTGTAACTTCATAAACAACTACTTGTGAAAATTTTGAACAGATCCTGTGATTTCAGCTGCAAGAAATACAATGGCAGAAAAAAATAAATATGAGCTTGAGGAGCCATCATTTGCTTTACAGAATGAGGGGAATCACTATGAAATGCTAGATTTTAGTACTAATGCAAGAAGAGATGATGTTCGACCAACGGAAACAACACCAAGGAAAAAAGCATCAGAGCAGACAACATGGAAAAGATTATTACTTGTTATAGCTGCATTACAGTGCCTCATGGTATTCCTACTGCTGGCAATACTTAGTTTAATGCTGCTACAATTATATGCCAGAGATGCCATCTCACCTGATCATACCAGTACCAGTACTAGTACTGCTGGAGGTATTGCTAGCACTGGTAACATAGTCTTTCCTAACTTCACAGAGTGGTCTGATAATATAGTCATTAAAGTTCACCAAAGCCTTCCTGACTTTGATGAATGGGCTAATCGTGTTGTCTCTAAAGTTAACAGCAATGTAACAGGGAGCCTTCCTGACTTCAATGAATGGGCTAATGGTGTTGTCTCTGAAGTTAACAGCAATGTAACAGGGAGCCTTCCTGACTTCAGTGAATGGGCTAACGGTGTTGTCTCTAAAGTTAACAGCAATGTAACAGGGAGCCTTCCTGACTTCAGTGAATGGGCTAATGGTGTTGTCTCTAAAGTTAACAGCAATGTAACAGGGAGCCTTCCTGACTTCAATGAATGGGCTAATGGTGTTGTCTCTAAAGTTAACAGCAATGTAACAGGGAGCCTTCCTGATTTCAATGAATGGGCTAATGGTGTTGTCTCTGAAGTTACACAGAGCCTTCCTGACTTCAATGAATGGGCTAATGGTGTTGTCTCTAAAGTTAACAGCAATGTAACAGGGAGCCTTCCTGACTTCAATGAATGGGCTAATGGTGTTGTCTCTGAAGTTAACAGCAATGTAACAGGGAGCCTTCCTGACTTCAGTGAATGGGCTAATGGTGTTGTCTCTAAAGTTAACAGCAATGTAACAGGGAGCCTTCCTGACTTCAATGAATGGGCTAATGGTGTTGTCTCTAAAGTTAACAGCAATGTAACAGGGAGCCTTCCTGACTTCAATGAATGGGCTAATGGTGTTGTCTCTAAAGTTAACAGCAATGTAACAGGGAGCCTTCCTGACTTCAGTGAATGGGCTAATGGTGTTGTCTCTAAAGTTAACAGCAATGTAACAGGGAGCCTTCCTGACTTCAATGAATGCGCTAATGGTGTTGTCTCTAAAGTTAACAGCAATGTAACAGGGAGCCTTCCTGACTTCAATGAAT